AGAGGACTTGTGGAAATGGATGGGTGGAAGGATGGAGTGGGCACATGGGGGGGTAGATGGAGGGGTGGCTAGAAGGGTTGCATGGGAAAGCATGGATGGATGAGGCAGGAGGAGATGGCTGGAGGGGTGGACAGACAGATGGAAGGGCTGCATTTGGATGGATAGACAGATGGAAGAAGCTTGAGGGGATGGATGGATGTGGGGTGGGAGGAAAGGAGGCAGCATGTGGGGATGGATGGATGGATGAACAGAAGGGAATGTGTGGATAGATGAGTTGTGTGGGGATGGATGGAGGGATGAAGGGGGCATGTGAGGACAGAGAAAGGGGCCTTATGGAAAGAAGTCCAAGAGGCTTGTCGGCTTGCCTCAAGGCAGAGCAGGATGGGGAAGCCCAGAGACAACCTGTTTGTGGCCAAAGCCGAGATGAAAACACTGTATTTTTGGCCAAGGGACAAGCACTGAGCCCTGGCTTCTGCTTGGGTCTGGCCGCTGCCCTTCTCTTGGGACAAGGTGTGTTTTGAGGAGGGGGGGTGGGGAGGGGTGGCCTGGCTGCACAATCAGCAAGGCAGGAGGGACTTTCTCCCCATCTTTTTTTCCCTTTCTTGTAGATGGAAAGAAGGTGTGTGGGGAGGTGGATGGCAAAGTGGGTGGGTGGACAGATAGATGGATGGAGGGGCACGTGGGGATGGCCAGGAACTGATCGGACGGGTGGGTGGCTGACTAGATGTGGTTGGATGGCCAGATGGGGATGGTTTGACTGGTCCTGGTGCCCCTCTGTAGTGTGACATCAAGCTGGATCTGCACCAGCAGGCCCAAAGCTCCTGCTAGAAGAGGTGGTAAATCTCATCTCTGGTGCCTGCCTTTGGGGTCAGCCTAGGAGCCTGGACGCCCGGGTTCTCTCCCTACCCTGGGAGGGGAGGGGGAGCATAGAAATCACCCTGTAAGCCAGACACCCCTGCCCCCAACCTTGGCTTGTCTGCAGTGTTTCACAGGACTGGGAACCAACCTAGGGTTGGCTCACAGCACCCCATGGTGGCCTGCAATGGTAGCATCAGCACTGGCTACGAGCATGCTATGGCCCAGATGTCTGGGTTCTGTCCTAGCTTGGGGAGAGGGGGGAGGCTGGTGGATCAGACTGGGGAGTGGGGAGAAATGGGAGTCCAGAGGCCTGGGTTCTCTCTCAGCTCTGAGAGGGGAGTGAGGTCTGGTGAGCTACAGCAGGGGCCTGGGGGCCCGCACACCTGGGTTCTCTCCTTTTCCTTGCAACCTGTAATGGGTATTTCCTCTGTCCCATGTTTCCCACCCCCTACCCACCTCGCAATGGGTGGAATGGGAAACCAGCCTTGTAACAGGACCAGCCTTGCAACACCTGGATGGGAGCCCTGGTTTGCAAGAACTCAACCTGCAATGGTAGGAGCTCCTACACCCCCTGCCTCCACCACCCAGGCCACGCTGTGGTTCAGGCCATACCAAAAGTTTTCCCCAATATGTGGTACAACCCAGGCAATGCTGCACGCATATGTCCCCTGCTCCTTATTGTGTGATACAGCCCGCACCATACCCCATACCCCTGGCACATGGTACAACCTAGGCTGTGCTCCACCCCATACCCCCCCCCCCCGCAAAGATGGTATCACCCAAGCCACTGTTTTTTCCCCCCAAATTTGATGATGACCCAGGCCACCCTCCCCACTATGATTCTGTGGTACAACCCAGGCCACCTTCTACCCCGCCATGTTGACGTGGTCTGACCCAGGCCACCCTCTCCCACCACTACGATGTGAGACAGCCCAGGCCACCCTCTCCCCTCCACAATTCTGTGGTATGACCCAAGGCATCCTCTCCCTCCCCACAACTGCACGGTATAACTTGGGCTATCCTCACCCCCCACAACAATAACTACAGTTAAATGGTATGACCTAGGTCACCTGCCCCCCTATGATTTTGTGGCATGACCCAAACCATTCTCACCCCACTAGGGTTACATGGTATGACCAAGCTACCCTCTCTCCCCACAAATACGTGGCACAACCCAAGCCACGCTACTTCTGCCCCACTCCCCCACCACGTGGTACAGTTCACGCCATGCTATACACTACAGTTGATGTAGCATCATAGGCCAGGCCCCCTCCTAGGGCCACAGCCCTGCTCCTGCCACACCCAAGGGGCCACACCCCCGTCTCACCTCTCCCGCAGACCACGCAGGCCCAGAGGACACAAGGGAGGGAGGCAGGTATTGGGGAAAGGGGTGGGGCATCTGGAGGGGGTGTGACTTCACTGAAGCCTTGTCCCTTGTGGGGATGTCTCCCTAGCAGGGCTCTGTACCCCCTGGTGGGCACTGGCTGGAGTGGGTGCCGGGGGCTTCATCGTCCTGGTCATCATCGTGGCCCTGTCTGTGTGTCTGTGCCGGGCTAAGAGGAGAGGTGAGGCCCAGGCGCGGGCACCAGGCTTCTCTGGGAGGAGGTTGGGAGCTGGGGGGTGAGAGCAGGGGGCCTGGCAGCTTGGACACTGGGCTCTCTGGAAGCAGGGTGAGGGCTGGGGGCTTGGAGCAGGGGACGCTGGGAGCCTGGGCACCTGGGCTCTCTCCCCACTCTGGAGGGGACTCGGGGGAGCTGGAATTCATGCCGCTTGGTTTCTTTTGCAGTAAGGAAGCTGGCAGCCCTGAAGGTAAGTGAGGCTGAAGGTTGGGATAGGGGCAGGGGCAGGGGGCTGCAGGTTGGGAGTGAGGGGCACCGTTAACCCCTTGCTGGACCCCCCTCCCCCTCCAGGGCGGCGCCAGAGAGGAGCAGCCTGACGTCCATTATGCCTCCCTCCAGAACCTGGGATCTGCCTCGGCCAAGGATGCAGGGCCCGAGCCCCCCCAGCCTCACAACCATGACTATGCCACTGTGGCTGAGCTGCGGCGGGGGCAGGAAGAGGCTGGGGGGAGAGAGGCAGGGGTGGAGGCTGGGCCATGTCCAGGGACAGGGGAAAGGGAAGAGGAAAGAGAAGAGGGGGACCCCCCAGAAGAGGTGAGCCAGGGCTGTGATGGCAGTGGGGAGCTGGAGGGTGCTGGGCAGCGAGGGGAGCCCTGAGGCTGGCCTGAGAACCCCAGTGTCTGGGCTCCCAGCCCCCCACTAGTGGTCAGCTCCCAGCCCTCTCCTCCCGGAGAGCCCAGGCATCCAGGCTCCCATCCCCCTCGGCACTCACCCCCCCAGTCGCCACCCCGCTCCCAGAGAATTCAGGTGTCCAGGCTCTCAGCCCCCCAGTCCCCTCTGGAGAGCCCAGGCATCTGGGCTCCCAGCCCCACCTCTCTCAGAGAGCCCAGGCATCCAGGATTCTTGGTGGGAAAAGCTGGGGTCCTGGGTTGTGGCTGGGTGCCCTGGTCCTGGCCCTGGGTGGTCGAGGTGGTGGTGGGGGCTTTTCTGCCCACTGTAATATACCAATCAGAAGCTGTAATAAAAGGTTGCTATGGAAGCTGTTGTGTTTCTGTGGTGCCAGTTGGGACCCCATCTAGAGCCAGCCGTAGCTCCTGTCCCTGTTATACGCAGCCCTTCTCTCGCCCTGGTCTCTAATGCCCCATTTCATCACTTTACCTCCCTCTTAGCATCAGCACAAGTGAGGAACCCAGGCATCTGGGTTGGCAGGAGGCTTGATCAGAGTCTTATTTCCCCCCACTACTGGAAACTCACCTTATTCTCCACCTCTCCCCTTCCCTGCTGGTCTTTTATACATGCCCTGCTGTCCCTATCTCACCAATCAGGGGCAGAAAGGGTATGGCCAGGGCAAGGACAATCATCAGTGATCACCCAATTGCCAATAATCAGTAGTCAATAAGCCATAAGCCAGAGGGATCCAATAACCAATCATTAATGAGTAATTAAGGGCATGACTATGCCACTGTGGCTGAGCTGTGGCGGGGGCAGGAAGAGGCTGGGGGGAGAGAGGCAGGGGTGGAGGCTGGGCCATGTCCAGGGACAGGGGAAAGGGAAGAGGAAAGAGAAGAGGGGGACCCCCCAGAAGAGGTGAGCCAGGGCTGTGATGGCAGTGGGGAGCTGGAGGGTGTCACTAATCAATACCAATGAATCAATGATCAATTGGTGGATTTTGATCAGTTCTCAATCAATGGCCAACAAGTGGGAGTCAATGAGAGTAGCTGGTAGCGTATAAGAAGCAGATAATAGGCACTGTAAAGGTAATGAGATTAATTGATCAATAATTTATAACTAATAATAAATAATCAATATCCAAACCATCATAAATAACCTATGAGGAGACAGTGGCCAGTAGTCCCTAGACAATAATCATTAACCAATAACCAGTCATCAGTAACCCATGAGGAAACTAGCCAGTAAACACTGACCAATAATCAATAGCCAATCATCAGTCCTCAATAACCAGTGAGGAGGCAGTGGCCAGTGACCCCAAGCCAATAATCAATAACCAATAAGGAAACAGTAGCCACTAATCTCTAGCCAGTAATCAGTAATTAATCAACAGTCATCAATTGCCAGCGAGGAAATTGTAGCCACTAATCATTATGCAATAATCAATAGCGAATCACAGGTCATGAATAGCTAATGATGAAATGGTAGCCAGTAATCATTAACTAATAATCAATAGCCAGTCACTGGTCATCAATGGCCAATGAGGAAATGTAGCCAGTAACCCCTAGCCAATAACCAATGACTCCATTGCCAGTTATCAATAACCAATGAGGAGACAATGGTCAGCAACCTCAAGCCAATAATCAAAGACCCCACCACCAGCCACCAACAGCCAATAAGGAAACAGCAGCCAACAATCACTAGCCAGTAATCAAGAGGTAATCACTAGTCTTCAGTAGCCAGTGAGGAAACAGTAGCCAGGAAGCCCCAGCCAATAATCAATATCTCAGTTGCCAGTCATCAATAACCAATGAAGAGACAGTGGCCAGTAACCGCTAGACAATAATCAATAACCCAATCACCAGTCACCAGTAGCCAATGAAGACACAGTAGCCAGTAGCTATCAATCACTAACCAACAATCAATAGGCAATTTCCAGTCACGAATAACTAACGAAGAAATTGTAGCCAGTAATCACTAACCAATAATCAATATCATCAGTCATTAGTAGCCAATGAGGAAACAGTAGCTAATAATCAAGCCAATAATTACTATTCAGTAGCTGATGGAGCCGTTTGGAAAATTAAATGAAAATGTATTCATTCTGATGTTTCCACGTCAATTTCATCCCAAATATGGGAATATTCAAATGTTTCCTCCCTGGAGATGGAAATTTGGGAGAAAAATGGATCAGGAAACAGAAAAAAAAAAATCCTCTTGAATAATCATTAGGATCTGGCCCATGATTGGCTGGGACTGTTGTCATCAGACACATAACAAGACTCCTTCCTACTATCAGCCAATGAAGAGGAGAGAGGAAGACGGGTCTTTTTCGGGGAGGGGGCGTGTGATGGGTGAAGAAATATGGTAATGGTGGATGGTGAGGAGACCAGGTTTCCACCAGGGAGAAGATGTTCCTTCTGTTTCTACTGGCCGGCAGGACGGACATCGGCAGTCAGGCAGGAGGTGCTCTGGAGGTGGGGGACACGCCATTGCCCTTGTCTGGCCGCCATGTTGTATCAGGTCCTGTCTCCCCTCTGGGGCCCTGTGTTGCCTCTTCCTGCACTTCCAGGGGCTTCGTTGGCTCCACCCACTCCTGCTCCCTCCCCAATCCTAATCCCCCTTCCACCCAGGCTCTGCCCATCCCTCCCCCCTCCCCTCCCCATGGCTCCTGTTTTCATTCTGCCCCCTCCCCCGCCCCGGCCACTCCCACTCACAACAGCCCCCACCCACAATTTCCTGTGGCAAGCAGCGCATGTTGTATGCTAGCAAATATGAGCGGCAATGAGATCAGCCTGCTCCCACCCCCGTTCTCTGGTTCTGGGGCAACACCGTCCTGCCCGCAGGGTGTAAGAAGGCACCCATGGCTTATTGCCCCCCCAATGGAGCAGGGAGTATCTTGCCCCATAAACACCCTGAGGGCACCAGTGTTTTCAAGGATTGATGGTTGCTCCCTGGTCCAGCCTGTCCCCAGTCGTTCCAAGGGGTGCATGGTAGGTGGGGAATTATGGTAATTTCCTAAAGGCTGTGGCACCTTTAAGGGATTGCGGCCCAGTATGGGAGGGGGAAGGGGGTCAAGGGTCCAGATGAAGTCTGGGCTAATGCCAAGTGGGGGCGGGAGAGTCCTGACCTATTCCAGAATGCCCTGGGGGGCATTGACATGGGGCAGGGGGGAGGCAGTGGGGATGGGAGAGTCTGGGGGCCTGCACTCCCGACCTGCAGCCCCCAGCCTCCCTCAGCCCTGCCGGTGCCCCTCACTCCCAACCTCCTGCCCCTCCAGCCCTGCTGGTGCTCTTCACCCCCAACCCACAGCCCCATGTCCCCCCAGCCTTGCCAGTGTGCCCTCGCTCCTGTTGTGGGAGAAAACTCCCTGGTGTTCATTGTCTAGCTGGCTTAGAGACCAGACAATGCGGGTGAAGGGGTAACTGCAGTTTATTTATTCAAGTAAAGACCATAAAACAGCAAAGAGGTAAAATGGCCCCGACTTAAGGGTGAGGCTGTCTTTTATACATTTTCTAACAAGGAAAACTACAAGGTTATTGAATATGCAATACTTATGGTCATCATCTCCTTACATGGTGCATTACAAATCTCAGTACTTTTCCAAAAGAAAAAAGTTAGTGTTATCTTACACATTCCAATCTGTTTTCCTGTACTCCGCTGTACCATCTTCTTCCCTCTGGGCCCCCCTTATCTTATCTCACTCCTAGCTGCAGCTGGTACTCAGTACACAGACTTAATTTCTGCTTTTTTCTAACAAAATGGTTAAGGCACTTGACATAAGAAAATGGTTGGCTTAGCTATCATTCTGTCTTGTGGTCAGCAACATTGCTAGGCCACAGGTCATGCCTTGTGTTTAGCTACAAAGCTAATACTATTTAATAATTTAAATTATTGTTAACTTAACAGTATACTACAGAAAACTATTTTATTTCAGGGTAAAAACAAACTTGCCCATCACAATCCCCCCTTTGTTCCAAACTTTTAAAAGTTTTGGAACACACTTTTAAGTATTCATGCTCTTGTGGAGTTAGGCCTTGATGATTGTTGCTGGGTATTTGTATGAGCTGACCATATATTTTTACTTGTCTTTGTATCATCTGTTGCCCCAAAGAACACAAACACTGAAAACAGCATAACAGACAGACTATAGTTATAACTATTCTAATTATACTTAGCACAAAAGGTCTAAGCCATCCCATAAGGGAAGGGAACCAACCAGTAAACCAGTTAAGAGATGCATCTTTGGGGATTTTAGCTACATTTTCGGCATTTTGGATATGTACAGCTGCATCATCGAGGTGGTTTTGAACTATGGTAAAAGAGCTGTTAACCCATACACAACATTCTGGTCCGATGACTGTGCAAGCACCTCCCTGGGCAGCTAGGAGGAAATTAAGAGTTACGCGATTCTGAATTAACATTTGTCGGAGTTCTTTTTGAGTGTTAGCTAAAGCTGCGACAGCTTTTGAAAGTTTTTGGTGGCCTACCCTGTATTCGTGGGCCATTATTTTAATTACAGCTTGGAGACGCAAGGTGTATCGTCCAAGACAGGAAGCACCTACTCCAGGGAGTATAGCGGCTAGGGAGTACCCAATAAGTTTTCCTGTGGTAAGTGGTTCTTTGAAATTACCTTCTAGCATATCTCGGCTTTTCGACAAATCCCTCTTGTTTCGCCACCTGCCCCATGGAAGGTGTGTGGCGAAGGACGTAGAGGGTCTTAGCAGTGCCGGATAGCAGATACCTTTTCCTTTGGCGGGGATTTTATAGTAGGCGTAAGAGCCAAAGACCCAATATTGCCCCTCTAATGCAGTGAGGCCTGAATACTTGCGGGGTAGATGGCTACCATTTCCTAATCCTAGCACTCCTCGTCCACCTTTTGATTTAAAGGAAGGATTTGTAGTTCCATTGAAAAAGCACTGTCCCCGGGAGGTATCATGATACGAACAATACTACAGGGCATTCTTTAAATCGGGGATAGGTTTGCATTCAGGATTAATGCCATTGGTTAAGTCTTCCTTGCTGTAAAAGTCATTGTAAGAGCTGCAAAAGGTAGGAGTTTGTGTATGATTATTACGCCAATCTCCTCCAGTAGAATCAGTATAATAATGACGACATGTGCTAGTACCTAAGTTTAAACAGGAACTTCTAGAACAGTTTACGTGGAAGCACCACTCTCCAACTACTGGTATAACTAAGTAGTACTCTTGTTTATTCGGTTCCCAAGTTTTGTTAGGGAGATTGGGGTCACTAGATGGATTTAGGAGTGATTCTACTAGTCCCAAGGGGGTAGGAATCATAGGGATCCCTCCTCGAGCGTGGAGAGGGAGATGGCTACATGCCCAGCAGTTACTATGGTTTTCTGCTGAACTACAGCAATGTGAGGGAGGATACCAGCGGGCAATGTTGACTTTTCTGTCTATTTCAGAGAGTTTGATTGAATTGCTTATCCAGACAGGAAAACTGCGGGTGCCAGGATTAGCACATTTGCAACAATTGGTAGCTATAGTTGACCCTGTAAAAGACTTATTTCTCCAGTAAACAGAAAGATTAGAAATAACATAGTTATAAAAGCCATATTATAACAGAAATCAGCACAAACAGTATAAACAACCCTGCAGCTCTGGTGATTACTCTGTAGAAGCAAAGGATAGCCGAGGCCTCAGAGAGAGATGCTTTAGATAAGAGGAAGACGGCTGTAAAGTTGTCTTGAAGACACAAAACAGATAGCCCATAGGCGGGAAAAGCTAGTTTGGGAAACTCTTTGTCTTGAATCTATAAAAGATTAATTGCCTTTTGCTGTAAGGCAGAGAGCCAGGGGAAATTTTCTCTTTAACTGTCTCTCCCTTTAGCTATTGAAATAAAGTTTCTACCTGACCTGATCCCAGATTCTACAGCATGTTTTTTCCACGACAGTTTTTTTTAGGACAGGTAACGGTTTTGAAGTGTTTGGTTTTGAAGGTGTCTAAAGGACACTGCACTTAAAACTCGTTTTTTTTCTTTTTGGGTTTGGTAGTATCTCAAAAGGGTGACAGTTCATTGGCAAACTTTGGTCAGTTTGAGTTTTTTGTCTGAAAGTGGACTACTAATCCAAGAACCATTTGATGTTTCGTCTGCTTCTGGTCTACCCTTGTCACGGTCAGGTAGACAGGCGGTGCTCCCGCGAAGTCCGCAGTCGTCTCCTTCTGGCTTCCCCTTTTCCAGGTCGGGGAAGCTCGCGTTGGAGCCGATCCTGAGCTCTGGTGAAACTTCTGTCTTCTTTGTACGAGTATAATGAATTCAGTTGTCTTTTTCTGCTACCTTTACGGTGGTGTGGGAAGTGAGGAGGATTTGATAAGGTTTTTTCCACCTTGGTTCAAGAGGAGACTGTTTTCAAGTTTTTATATACACCCAGTTTTTAGGCTGGACGTGATGTGCTGGAACATCGGCAGGTAAGAGTTGGCTTAAAACAGCATATCTATGGAGAGATTTTAACTGAAACTGTAGAGATAAAATATAAGAGGTGAGTCCTTTATTGCCTAAAAGAGAGGAGGTGTGAGCCGGTAATAAGGGGGAATGTTGGGGAACAGGGTATCCAAACAGTAGCTTGTAAGGGCTGAGCTTTAGTTTTCTCCTGGGGTGAAGAGCTAGTGGGAGAGCCTTAGTCTATTTTAACCTGCGTTTAGCACATAGCTTTTTAATTTTTGTTTCAGGGTTTGATTCATTCTCTCTACTTGTCCTGAGCTTTCTGGGTGCCAAGGGGTATGGAATTTCCATTCTATTCCTAAGAAGCTGGTCAGAGTTTTGTTTATGTCAGCAGTAAAATGTGATCCTTGATTGCTTTCAATGACACGTGGTGGACCAAACCTGGGTATAATTTTGCTAAGGAGCACTTTTAATACTTGTTGCGCTGTAGCTTTTCTGGTGGGGAAGGCTTTTACCCACCCCGTGAGTTGGTTAACAGTTACTAGGAGGTTTTTGTACCCATTGTCTTTAGGCATATTAGCAAAGTCTACTTGTAGTTTTTTAAAGGGAGTGTAAGTCTAAGGGCAGGCTCCGGAGGGTCTTGATCTTTTCTCTTTGATATTAAACCTTTTGCATATATTGCAGTGTTCTAAAAGCTTCTTTTGTTTCTTGGTAGACTCCGGGTGCGTAGAACAGTCTATTAGTGATTGCAGCAAGTTTTTCACAACCTAAATGCTTGCTTTGATGGAGTTGTTGTAGATAAGGTTTAAGGGCTGCTTTAGGTAACACTATCTTTCTCTATCTTTCTGTCCTTTTTTGTTTTTTAGCTACTTTATTTCACAAAAGATCAGGTACAGAAAGCAAAAAACCATCAAACTCACTAGAGAGAAACTATTCCAGGACATTCAGAACTTCACACCGTGACAAACACTTTTGCAGTAACACATATCATGCCTAACATGCCATATAGCTCTTGAGAAACGAGCAGTTTTACTCTTCTCTGTCTTATAGTACACGTGCAAAAACTTTCGGCATTTTAGCCTAAGAATAAAAAACCAATGCAGCCTGGTTCACCGTCACTAGGTAGAGGTAATAGAGTAGCCGGATTCAGGGTATTGCATCTTTTTATGACTAGGTTTGTGGCTATTAAAAGTGTGGTTTCATATTTGTTCATTCTCTGATGAGAAAAATGTTGAGTGTTTTATTTGGAGGAGGAGGAGGGCTACTGCGTTTATTGTTGCAGCTGCTGTCACTGAACGAAGGCAGCTTACTCCCCCCTTTGCCACTGGATTTAACTGTGCAGAGAAGTAAGCTACGGGCGGCTTTATGATTTTAAAAGACTGGTTTTTCCTTTTGTTTTTCTTTTTTTCTTTTTTCTTCCCTTTCTTCCCTTCCATTAAAGTAGCAATGGCTAAGTTTTCTGCCATGGATTTACCTTCAACACCTTTAGTGTCATGTTGTAGTTTCTTTCTAATATCTTCGCTAGCCTGACTTATGAACACAAGTCTTAACACAGGCAAAGTGGCAGGTGACTCGGGATCTATGTTTTCATACTGGCGTATGGCTTTACAGAGTCTTTCAAAGTAGTCTAAGGGAGTTCTTCTGGACTCTGAACAGTAGATGTTATTTTAGACCAGTTTGTAGTTTTATCCCCTGCTTTTCTAAGTTCTTTTAAGATATTTTCTTTTAATATTCGTATTGAATTCTTCCCCCTTCTTCATTTAAATTTTAGTCTGGATCTTGCCTGGGTATGCCATTGGGCAGGGGGTAGTTTTGCTGATGCTGATCGGCTAAAATTTGATCGGCATGGCGTAGCACTTGGGTTTTCTCGTCTGAGGTTAAAAGGCTTTTGAGAAGCTGCATGATGTCTGACCAGGAGGGGTTATGAGTCATGAAGATGGTTTTGAAGTGCCTCAGAACTACTTCGGGATCATCTCTGAGCCTGGGGGTATTTTCTTGCCAATTTAAGAGGTCGGTGGTGGAGAACGGAGTGTGTGTCCAGTGACTGACAACTTCTTCACCCTCGCCAGGCACAGGGTATTTTCTTAGGGGAGCCAGAAGATTAGGGGCAGTTACCCGCTGTCGGAGGCGATTTGCTATGGGAGTGGTACTGGAAACCGGAGAGGGATCTCCCGATTCATCTCCGGATCCAGGACTCCGGGTTTCCGGGGGAGGCAGCCGAGATGGTGCCTCTCCAAGATCCCCCAGTCCCTCGTCAGGTGGTTCTTGTTCAGTGTCCCGAAACTGTGGGTTATGGGGCCTAGGCATGGGTCTATAATCATCCTCTGAATATGAGGGTGGTGCAGATGCTCTGGGACATCGAAGGGGAGCTAACAAATTTAGGGGAGGTACAGGAGTTGGGGTGACTGATGAGAACTTAGACCGCTTACTGGTAATATTGCCCCACAAATACCAATAATCCATTTGACCGGGGCGGAGGTCCTCCAAGATTTTTCGCAAGGCAGTTAAACGATTTGAGTCAAATGATCCATTTTCTGGCCATTGTCTTCCCAAATCTAACTGAGACGTATAAGACGTCCAGTTAGTCAAACAGAGTTCTGCCATACGAGACTTGGATAGTCCTGCCCGTCCCTCCAAGTGTTTTCAATTCCTAATCATATAATCAAGGGGTGAAT